TTTTTTTTTTTTTTTTTTTTTTTTTTTTTTTTTTTTTTTTTTTTTTTTTTTTTTTTTCACAACCAAAAGTTGCTCTTCCAGGTGCACGCGTGGGTCAACTACCAGAGTATCCTGCAAAAGTGCGTCGTTGGTCGGCTCGAGCGCTCCATCAACGCGGATCTGTGCTTTCGGAGCGATAAAGACGCGCCTAGTAAGTACAATTTTTCCTCTTCTCGTTTCACGTCGATTGCGTCGAATCGATCGAATGCACGATTTTTTTCCCCTCAGAAAATATCACTAACGCAGCGGCTGCAGCAAAGGCCAGTGCGGCTGTAAAGCTCGACTGGCGGCAGACGAGCCATAGCGTCTCCCTGTTTTTCACAGGTTGCAAGCCAGAGATCGGTCCGCTGGGCGAGTGTCAAGTCAGAAGGGAGAACGAGCGAGAGTTTGCGCTAAGGATAGGGCTGGAGAGGAGCGGACACGTCACAAGGTACAGCCTAGTAGTTGCCGAGGACGTCGAGTGGCCGCCCAACTTTCGTCACGGCTGCGAGGGACAGGAGGTGAGTTTGTATAATTGTTTTTACACAAAAGTGTTTTCATACCCCAAGTGTTGCGAGTGAGATAGTATCACACAGTTGCATCAAACGTATAGGTGAACCCTGTTTTTGTTATTAATTTTAACAACAAAGTCCCAAATCTGAATATTATACGAGAACTTTTGTTTTTCAATCACCTATGCGTGGCGAGTATCGATGCTTGGGGTTCCTTTGAAACGAAATTCGAACGTAAAAGCTCGAAAGTTCGAAATCGAAACGCTAAAAGTGGGTAGTGTGTACACACACACAATAGCAGATAATTTACTCGGGCGAGGGAGTTAGCAGAGCAGGAGAAAGAAAGCGCGGCACAGCTCTGCATTTTAATTCCACGTGCAGATCGAGTTGGTGTTCAAGAAGAAGAATCGAGGCATCTGGAAAAGTTACGGTACGCACTCGGCGTCGCAGGAAGAGCCAGTCGCAGGGAAGGCCATGGCTAAGCGGACGTACAATGAATACGAGGTGCTCGAGAACACTGGGCTCTGTGAGGCAGTTCGTCTCTTGGTTTTGCGTGCTCGGAATTACGTTCAACTGGTACCGGCCGGCAGACACGTCCAAGCTAAGCTCCACGTCATGGGTAAGCGTGGATTTATCTAGCCATCTCTTGGTTGAGTCCGTAAAAGCGCTCTTTCCCCCCCTCACCCTTTTTTTTTTGAAGAACTTCAGCTTTTATTTTCAATTTGTGATTTTGTGAACGTGATTTTTCGCAACATTGCGTTACTCTTTTTGAGTTGTCAGAGTTTTAATCCTCGTTTGCCAATGGACTTGCAGATCTCAGGGGACTTTTATCTCATTGAGCTTTTGATTCTTGACTTTTCGAAAAGTTACTATGAGATTTTTTGTTTCTCGAGTCCAAAAGTCCTTTTAATACATAAAAACAGTGCAAATAAAAGCGTCATCATCAAAGCCCTGAAAATAGAGATACCTCGACATGTTACAAAGCATTTTTCGTTCAAATGAATTTTCCAACCATTTGAAACCGAGTCCCTATATTGATTTCGATATTCCTTTGGTTAAATACATTTAAACACCGAAACCTGCCTTTAGTTTAATTAAAATAGTTTTTTACCGTTACTTTGAAATATCGGTAAATGATAATTGCTTTAATCATTTCGTGAGCCCTTCAACCGTTCAACAATGAAATACAATCTTTTTCGATGTACATATATACTTACCCTTCCCGTTCGTTCCACTGACGAAGCTGCGGTAAACCAAACTGTTTGCACTGAAACAGTTTATTTGGGTCTTTCTCGCTTCTCACGTTACGTTAATGTCTGTTTGCATTGAATGTTGTTACTTTGTCGATTGTGCTCGTGTTATTTTAGTGAAATGCAATACTTTGGATGTTTGTTTATGGTGAATATTATCGGAACAAATATCTTTATTAGTAACATTTAAAGAGGAACACTCCGAGTGATAATTTTCCACAGTGTATCTGCATGTATATGATAAAAATGATTTGAGTCCACTAATAAAAAAAATTAAAAAAAAGTGCTGCTCAATGAATCCTTATACTGTACTCGTGCACTATCGGCAAATGAGCACTTCCGGGCAAAAAAATTGTATAAACCTTGCGGGTAATTCCGAAGCTCCACCTTTCATTACCTCCCCTAAGCTCTTATCCTGCATGCGTCCCCAGCATTAAATTTTCCAACTTCCCAACTCAACAGTACTCTGCTTTACGTAAACTCCGAGGACAGCTCTTTCCAACATTGCGCAAAAAAAAAAAAAAAAAAAGGAAAACATCCCTCACACGATGCTCCAACTCGCAGGTACGGAAGTTTCGCGGCCCTACACACCCGTGCCCAGTTGTCTGCACCCGGAGGACAGGCCAGCTTCAGCCACCAGTGACGACTGCCTCTGCCTGATGGTCAAGCGCTACGAAAATGGAGCACTGAGTCCCACACTAGCCGCGCTGAGGGTCGGTGACAAGCTCGAGCTGAGCAATGCGCTCGGGACCTTCGAGCCCGGCCGGTACGACGAGTGTTCGGCGATGCACCTCCTAGCTGCCGGGTCTGGGCTCACGGTCATGCTGGCCGTCGTAAAGCGCGCTCTCGCCAGGCGCAGCCCGTAAGTTTATCCATACGTATTACATTTTTCCGTTTATTTCCTCTCTTTTCATGGGTTATCCGTCAGAAGCAGTTGCGCCCGAGCTTTTTTTCCCTATATTCTCTCTTCTCTCCGCGCGAGCTGGGCTTCGTTAGCGTGTATACCTATCTGTAAATGAACATGTGCTGTTTCTTGCTCCTTTTCATTTGCCCCCGGCCAGCTGTTGCTACCACTGCCGCGCACACCGCACTAATCGAGTCTCTCTTTTCTTTTTTCCCCTCCCCCCCCCCGTTACGAGTACAGGCTTGTTTGTTTGTTACAGACCGACAATCAACTTGGTCAATTTCAACAGGGACGAGGATAACGTGTTTTACGCGCGGGAGCTCGAGAGGCTCGCTGGAGAAGACAAGTGAGTACAAGTTGCCTGATGTTTCTGTATACGAGGTTCATCGCGCGATGGAGCCGTCCAGCGAAAAAACGAAAGCAAATTCTTGTAATAAAACATACACAGGCCCTTCGAAGCCTGTGGTATACGGGTTACCCCCTTTGAACGAGAGACCTCTTGGAGAGCAATTTCGTAGCTTTGGGACGATTATTTTATTTTATTTTATTTTTCTCGGAACCCCCATTTTGATGAAGACTTGAAATAGATAGGTTGAGGCGTGAGGAAGGATTTGTAGTTTGTTCTAGGCGAAAAAACTGGCAGTCTAAAAGTGAACGGATGAACGTGTGCTTTCGGGTGTGTTCGCGTAAGAAGTGAAACAAGATAAATGAGAACGAATACACCTTCACAAACGTGTTTTTGTACGTATAAACAACCGTCGCAACTCGGGTATTGACGTTTACTTATACGCTCCGGTTGCTTCGGTTGGGAAATTGAAAAAAATAAAAGCTCTATTCCGCATGGAACGTACTGTTGAAAGCTGTGTTTAAAAAAAAAAAAAAAAAAAAAAAAAACGAGTACATTGTGCTTCCTTTTACTTGCCGTAGAAAAGGAATGCGTTTGTTGTATCAGTAACCCTTTTGTTTACACCTGATTGCTTTCATCTAATCACCGTTAAAGATGCTCGGGTTGTTGGAGAAAAAAAAAAGAAATCCTACATCTCTTTTCCCTACCCCCTAACGTCAGATGAGAAAAATTAATTTTACATGAATAATACCTCTCGTAGGCTCAAGTTGACGCAGGTGATGTCAGAGGCCGGGGACACTTGGCAAGGCAGACGGGCCACACTGTCGGAGGAGTTGCTGCTGGAGCTCTTGGGCCGAGCTGCGAACGCCAGGGCTTGCGTCTTCACGTGTGGACCACCGGGCTTCATGAAACTCGCCAGAGAGTAAGTTTTTTTTACTTGTTTCCCTCTATTCAAGTTCGTTCCCAATGGGGGAAAAAAAAGCTCGGCACGTGCTAGATTCAGGAACGATGAAAATCACTTTACCTTCCGCACGTGTTGGTACGCTGTGCCGATGTATTTCGATTCCGACTGCTGTTGCGACTCTACGTATAAAATTGTGATCGTGATTGGCCAGTGATGAATTTCTATTTTTTTTTTGCCCCTTTCACGTCAAACAAAGCAAAAATTCGGCCGTTTAAATGGAAATGTTTTGTTCTCGAGCTGACGAGGTTTCAGCTGTTATTCGTCTCACGGTCGAGCTAACCACGAGCACAGTGGCGCGTAGTTGGCAAACGGTACAACCGGTTTTTAAGTTGCTCGTTGTAAAAAAAAAAAAAAAAAAAACTATCAAAAACTGCACACCGTGTGGAGACCGGAGGGTTGTGCTTTCGACGCGATCAGCCCTATTTATAGTCGAGCGCTGGAGTATACACCCTACACTTGTCAGCAAACGACGAAACTTCAGCGGGGGCCCAACTAATAATAGAGCGAAAGGCTGACGCATCGAATAATTAAACAGATTTCTGGCCTAAGCGAAGATTTTGCGTCGGGACGGAGGCGATGGTGTTTTCGGAGTAAAGCCTTGTTGGCTCGACTCGGCAGAGTTATGGCACAAAAAAAGGAGAGCTGGCTGGTAAGAGGAAGATAATGAAGGGAAGCACAGAGCGTTAAACGGGGGGTTTCGATTTGCTTGCAGGTCCCTGCGAAACCTCGGCTGGGAGCGGATCTACGAATTCGACGGCTGAGCCGATGCACGTGCGCATACATAATACAACCGACGCTGCTTGCCATACACTCGCATGGGTGAGTGTGTTTTTGCACTTTTCGTACGCATATATGTATTTACATATATATCTGCTTCATTCGCGCGGTATCTCTGAAAACTCGCGGGCGAGACCAAACAGAGATACTATGTACATCGTACCGGGAAGGAAAAAAGGTATAGGGTGTATAGTGTTTCAATGTATACATAATATGTATTTATCTCTCAGGACTCTGCTTGTTAACCTTCTTACTTTTGTACATGTACCCGTGAAATATGTTGACATTAAAGATCTATTTTATATGTGTTTCGTGTTCCACAAAAGGGTCGACCGTTTTTCATTTTATTCATCATTCCCCTTACCTCCCGTCACTCGGACCGACACCAGCATCAGCATAGGTGATAATGTTGCCTCGTAGGTTCGCACGACGCAGTAATAAGTAAGGTAAGATATTGACTCGTGCAGCGGTGCTCGCGCGAGAGGGTGGATTTTTCAAGCTCGATCGCCCGGCCCGTTGTGCTATTGAGTTTTCAGTCGCGCGTTTCGAAGGACTCGAGTGCAACGAGCCGTGTTGCGCAGCCACCTCTTCCTACTGTTGCGTTTTCTACTCTATACACCGCACGCTTGCGTTTGCACGTACAGGTACTTTGTGACAAATATACTCGACTGGTTGTTACACTCGCACGTGGTGCGTTTTACCTTAGTTCCTTTGTTGTTAATAGGTAATGCAGTGCCAAACAAAAGGTGTATTCAACTGTGGATATAATGTGTCATTGATGGATAAATGTCGATGCTTTATAGGACAATGATTTACAGGAGAGGTAGGTATAATACACTTGTTCAACGAGTGTCGCTCGGAAGCGTGTTGGGAGGCTTGTAGTTTCGTTCCCCCATAAAAACTCGCTGCAAACAAAAAATGTTTCTCGCCGAGCAGTGATGAATCAACAATGGGCGAAAGGAAAAGCAGAACAAAAGAAAAAAAGTCCCACATCTGATAAAAGCGCGGATAAGCCAGAGACACCCCGGGCGTAAATATCTCTCTCTCTCTCTGTCCCGTTGAACTTGTCATTTTTCGAGCAACAGAGTCGAGCCGAAGATTGCACGTATATATAATACTCCCCCGAGCGTCGTAATTTTGGTCCATCAAACTTTTCATAAACAAAAGAAACTCTCGAAAAAAAGGAAAAAAGAGGGTGAAGGACGACGGGACGGAAAAAGAGAGGGGGTGCGGGGGGGGGATATAAAAATGAAACAAAGTGATAAAACAGAAAGACGCGCGGGGCAGCAAGGACAAAAATCCATATAAAGCTCGCTCCGCACTTTTGTATAATACACATCAGCTACCGAATGCCAGGCAGGGGGCGCAACGCAACGTCCGACTGCAACCGGCACGTTTCTACTGAATAATGCATCAACAAGCTCTCTCTCTCTCTCTCTCTCTCTCTGGCTGGCCCAGCGATTCATTATAAACAAAAGTTGACACTGTCGCGTTGTACAATGTACTCTTTGAGAAACCTTTTAAAGGAGCGCGTTTAATTTCCCCTTCGGACAATGATATATGAATTATAAATAGTGTCATGTACTACCTACTACTTGCTCTCTCTTTTTTCTGGAAAGCCATTTTAGTCAAAGGCGTTTTCAGGCAACTCTGTTTTCAGGCTGCCCGAAAATAAATTATAAATTAGCGATACCTCGAAAGAAGCAGACAAAAGTAAGGACCAGCCCCTATGCTACGATTCCTCCGCGTGCGGTGGATATAAATACCCGCAATACAACACCTCTCGCGCGTGCAAGGCGAGTAAGGAAAAACAACCTGTCACTGAGTCGCCTCGAGCGCGATTGTTTTTCATTCGCAAGTGTGTACTTATTCTCCTTCAATGTTCCTTTCCTGTGCTCCACCAAAAAGGTGGTCTCGACTGTTAATGACAAGCCACTCGACGCTCATCAGCCACTGCGCTTTTTTTTTCACCCCCTCCTCCGTCCTTTGTGCTCGTCTTGCAAGCTCCTCCGACTCGATTTGTATTGTACTCCGGTGGACGTGTACATGAACACGCGTTTGGAGCAGGTACTATCTCGCTTCCGCGAGACTTTCACGAACCGCTGCTTCTGTATACAATACCCAGGAAGGAAACACACACGCCCGAGTTGTACATAAGCGAGCTATTTTTTTTTTTCTTCCTCCGTCTCTACTTCTTTTCCTCGTTTCTCGTCTTTATTCAATTTACGACTTTAATTTTCGTCGATATTTCCCAATACAGAGAGATAGGGAGTACACATATTTTATACGCTCCTGTTTCAGAAAAGCATAGTTTAAATATTCACATACAATCCTCGGCTCATTGCGAATCTCCGTAATGCAGCAGTAAGAAATCCGTCACGGTACAGCCAAAGTCAATGTCAAGTGCTTTTTTTTTGTTTTTTATTTTATTCGAGTTGGTCGTCTCTGGTGCATGAATGTACATACCATTTCTCTTTGACTGAAAAACCAGGTGCTAGACATCACTGCTTTTGGGTAGTCGTGCAGTTGATAGGATTTCCAGTAATCGAGCTTGCGGCATTGTCATTATTTCACGTAACCTGCGCATCATCGCAAATAACAAAAGAAGAAAGAAAAATTTACCAAGGGCTCGCTTGTCGCGCGAAACTCGAGCTCTTGACCTACTTTGGAGAAACGGAACAAAAAAAGCTCGTCCCGTCATCGAGCTTTTTTCCTCTCTCTCTCTGCGTACAGTATTTCAGGAGACGATGCGCGTTCCAGGAGGAGATGAGAAAAATTGAATCAAGAAAGTAATCCCCCGATCTCGGCGCGGGGACGCGAAATTAAAACGCTTATGTACCTCCTGTGTAGAAAGTAAGTGGCCGGTTCTAGGAAGACATCGCCTCCGGCCGCGGAAAGCTGCAAAAGATACACAACAACGCGCTGTAGTTGACAGACGGAGGAGAAAAGGAAACAACGAGCACGTGGACCGTGGACCCGTGCCGCGCCCTCTGCCAGAGCTCTACAAGTGCAACAAACAGAACAACTCGGTGAGAGAAGGAAGAAAACGGTGTAGCCGCGTGTACGAAAGCTCGCCAGTGGAAATGGAGTAAAAAGGAGGAGAGGAAGAAGAAAAGGAAAACAAGCGTTGCTCACCAACCACACGCCGAGGAGGAAAATAACGCGCACGTTGCGGGAGAGGGGAAAGAAAAAATAAAAGGGAGATTCGCCTCTGGGGGAGGAAGAAGGGTGGCCGTCGCTAGGGGGGGGGTGATGCGCTGCCGCGCGAACTTTCTTCGACTCTCTCTCTTTCGCGTTAAAAGTGTCGGAGGAAGGATCGCGTGTGTATGGATGTGCCGCGATTGCCCTTTTCTTTTCTCTTTTTTTTGACTCCCGTTCCACGTGCTGGTGCGTCTTCTTATATGATGCGCGGGAGGTGGAAAATCCGTCATCCTTTGGAGCTTTTTTTCTTTCGAGGATGTTGCGACGGGAGCGCTTATGCTTACTCAGCTCAGTTAGTTTTTTTTTTTTTTTTTCCTTTTCTTTACATACAAACACTGTTTGTCCATTAGTATTCAAATAAAATAAATGGTGTAGGTATACGGGAAATTTATCTCACGTTGTGATTGCACGAATGGGTGTAACAAGTACAGTCCCCGATGGACCTTGAAATTCGTCAGCTATTGTTAGCGTTGAAACTTTATCGAATCACGAGTCCTCAAATTCATAATGAAATGGCACGGGATTTAGTTGTTAAAAAAAAAAAAAAAAAAAAAAATGTTACTCATGTAAAAAAGTTAATGGAACCTCATTTTAAAGCACAAAACGACTCTTTACCCCAACAACTCAACAATCGTGCACCAGAAAAGAAGGAAGCATTAAGGTACACATCAACGCTGTTGAACAAGCCCGACCTCTGCTCTCTTCGGTCATTTATTAGCCTTCTTTCTCTTCCTCTCTCACCCCGGCTGTATACGCACCCATCGGACAGGCGTCAGGTAGGTAGGTACAAGTGCTCGCGCGAGATAGATGATGGAGAAGGAGAGAGAATTTCACTCCGCAGCCGACCCCTGGGGGGCTGGTCGTCCGAGCGCGAGAGAAAGGGAAGAGACGCCGCTGCCACTGCTGGGAATGTATATATTATATATGTCGCGCGCACGGCGTAGCCGGCAGCAGAGCTGCGGAACCTTCAGTCGTGCGACTGCTCTTGCGCCGATCGCTGCATCACGTGCGCGCCGGGTATACCTGTGGAAGGTCCTCGCTCCGCGAGTCAACTGGATTTTATTTTTTTATTTTAGTTTTTTTTCTTTCTTTTTTTTTTTTTTCACGGAGCACGCCTGTCAAGTGCCAAGAACTGTCTGTTTCGTTTTCATCGGGCGCCCACGCTTGACGTCTTGTTATTTATTTTTTTTTTTCGCCTTTTTCTACAGGTCCCGCTGACGCTGTCGCTTGTGTGTGACACTTTAGTGCTCCCAATTTTTTTTCCTTTTCTTGTTTCGTTTTCTTCGCGTACAGGTACGCATATTACACACATTTCGAAAGCATCACGTGCGCCTGGCACATTTTTCCTCGCGTACGAGTGTTTTTTCCGTCTCTGTTAAAGAATAAGATTTTGTTCATCCATGTGCGGCAAGATCATCGAAAAAGTGGTGTGAAGCTCCGTACTCGATAACTAAGGGTACGCATAGAGTGGGCTTTATTCGTTATCAAAACAATCGAAGAAGAAGAAGAAGAAGAAGAAAAAGAACAAGAAAAGAGGAGACGCCAAGTGTATTGCCGCTTAGCCGCACTCGCGGAGCGATGTGAGACGCGCGTCGTGCACAGCACGAGTCGGTGCTGCTATGCTTTGGTTCTCACCCTCCGACGCTGTTCTGGCGGATGAATAAAGTAAGATTTCCGTCAAACTCTTTCTTCCCTTCCGTCACCCAGCAGCTCTGTCACGGGTTGTTCTCCGTTAATGGGGTCCTTCCCAGCGAACCCTCCGGTTTTTGTTTGTCCCCTCCGATAGAGATTTACTGGTGCCGTCACCAGCATCGATCGATAAACTCATGTTTTCACGTACAATAAATTTCAAGTCATCCTTGTAAAGTGTAACAAAAAAGATACGTTATTTCAAATCATTAAATGGAAATTCAAATTTTTTCTGTTATAAATGCAATTTGAACAAAAGATTTGCGA